ATAGTGCGTTGTAAATTAATTATTTATTAATTAATTTTGTTTATTTTACTTTTATTTAAATTACAGACTGTAATATTTATAACTATTCTATTATTAATTATAATTAAAATAGAGCGTATTAATTTTTATTATTTCTATTAATTAAATAAAACTTAGAAAGTAATAATTTTCTTTAAAATTAATCATTTAACTTTTTAATAAAGGAAGTAGATTTTTTGAATTAATAGTTATTTGATAAAAATTATTTTAAATAGACAGTATTATTTAAATTTGATTTTTTTGTTTATAAACTATAAACTTTTTAAATTTTAATTTTAAAAGGAAGTAAATTTTTTATATTATTTTATTAGTTTAAATTATTAATTTTAAGTAAATTAAAGTTAAAAAATAAATTATTATCAAAATATGATTATGAAATTAAAAAAGCCTGTAATAACTTTTTTATATATTTTAAATTAAATTATTTTATTTTTAAATAGTTTGTAAAATAATCATAAGATTTTATTATTTTATTAAAAAATTAAAAATAGAACGTAAAATGATTTATAAATCTACTAATCTAATTAAATATATATCCTTAATAATAAAGAACATTGTAAACACTTTCTCTAAATAAATTAAAAAAACATAGAATGTAATTTTTAAATTTAATTTTTTAAATTAAATTTATTAAAAAATTTAGTGCGTAAATCTTTTAATAAATTAATTAATAAATTAATTTTAGAAATGCGTAAATTCTTCATATATTATCTTATTTTTAATGAATTTAAATAAAAGAAAGTAAATTTATATTTTTTATAATTTTATTTCATTTTTTTATTTATTTAAAATAGAATGTTTATTTATAAATTACTTTGTAATGATTGATTTAATAATTTTTCAAAAATAGAAATTATTTGAAAGATATGTATAATAAAATAATTATCTTACTTAAAATTTATAAATTATATATAAACTTTTAATTTACTAATTAAAATATATAAATATATTTTAACTAAAAGACAATAAAATTATATTCATTATATATAAAAAATAATTATTTTTATTTATATTATTTTACTATTTAATAGATTGTTGTATTTAAATTTTTATTAGTTTTTCTTTTTTAATAAACTTAATATAGCAAGTAATTTTCTATACTTTTACTTTATTAATATTAATGAACATTTTGCGATAAAAAGAATGTAAATTTTTAAGCATTAACTTTTAATAATATCTTTTTAAAAATTAGCAAGTAAATATTAAATTACAAATAGTAATTATCATAATAATTGAAAAAGAATGTCAATAAATAATTAATTTACTTTATATATTTATTTTATTACTGAAGATTAAATATGTATATTATAATAATTGTTTATATTTTATTTTTAATTATATAATAATAGATGGAAAAAGTAATTAATATTGATTATAATTTTTGTATTTGTCAAATGATATAGATAGTAAAAATTAATGATTTTATATTTTATTATATTTATAAATAATATTAGTGTGTATAATATGATTATCTCAAGTTTATATAATTTATTTTGTCAAAATAAGGCTGTAAGAATTTTTTTTAATAATTTTATTATTATATATTATAGGAAGTATTAATATATTTAATCAAATTTATGATTAACAAATTATAAGCTTGTATTTTCTCATTATTTTACATAAATATGGGCTTTTAAATTAAAAATAGAAAGTTAAACATTTTTTTTGTATTTTTATTAATTTAAAATAGGATGTAATCTTTTTTTATATTTTTAATAATACTTTTTTTATTTTTAATTAAAAATAGGATGTATTTTTTGGTTATTATAATTTTTTTAATATATATTTAAATGAAATTAGTGTGTAAAATAAATTATTTAATCATAATTTTTTTTTTTCAATTTGTTTAAAAGGAAGAAGTAATTATAATTAATAAGAAAAATAAATAAAAATTTATTTTAATTTTTTATATAACTTAGAAGAATAATATTTATATATATATATTTTTATAATTTTATATATATAATAATATAATATATATCTTATTTAAAAAGCAATTCAATGTATAATAGTGTATTTTAATTTTTAATAATAATATTTATTAAGGTAAACATTTATATTATTATTGCAATTTAATTTATAAACTTAATTTAGAATGATAATAAAATGTACTTTTTTTTTAAGAATATTATATTCATTAAATAAAATCTAAAAATTTTAAAAGATGAAAATTACAGTGAAACAAATAGAAGAATATTATATATATAAGTTTATTTAATTATATAAAAATAAACAAAATAAAAATCAAGAAATTTTTTTTAATACTTAAATATATAAAAATATATTTTCATAATATGGTATAAAATATTTTTTAATTTATAATATAAAAATAAAAATCATAAGAGCTTATTTCAAACAGTAAAAAATATTTATGTCAAAAAATGATAATAAAATTATATTTCTCCTTAATCTTTTTACTTTAAATATTATAGAAAAGAATAAATTTTAAAATATATTTAATTTTTTTAAATTTGTTTTTACTTTTTTTAAAAAAACTAAAAGTATATTAAAAATATAAAATTTATATAAAAATATTAATTTATAAATATTTTTAAAATTATAATTAATTAATTGATTTATTTATATATTTTTTTTATAAAAAAACATGTTATTTAACTTATAAAAAATATTAATTTTTAACAAATAATAAAAGAGTAATTAAAAAATAAATATTTTATTATTTATTATAATAAATAATAAACTTTTATGGTTATTAAAAAATTAAAATCGGTATTTATAAAAAAAAATTATATAATTAATTTTTTAGTATTTAAAAATTTTTAAGACTCATTATATCCATTTATTTAAGAATTTATTTATGTTTTTAACAATATTTTAAGAAAAATCCGCTTAAATCCACTTTATACAATGAAAAATTATAATTGACAAAAAAAAAATAGATTTAAAAAATAATTTTTAATAAAATTTGATAATTTATTTATGATTTTTTTATTTATATAAAATTTAAAAAAAACTTAAAAAAATAATAATTGACAAAAAAAAATAGATATAAAAATAATTTTAATAAAATTTGATAATATATT